GAAGAGAGGCAGGGGCTGCCGCTGCAGCTCCTGCTCAAGCTGTCGTGGGGAACAGGCTATTTCTGGCCTGTTCCCAAAACCCTGCTTTTGTGCCTGAGTCTTAGGGTCGGTCGAAACGATGAGGGCCTGAAAATGGCCCTCCGTTTCAGGSTGAWAAACCTCTGGGCCTGAAAGGCCCAGAAATAGGCTGAAACGGAATAGGGCCTGCAGGCCCTCGTATTTCAGCTTTCAGTCTGAAACGGCCGGGGCCTGTAAGCCCTATTTTCTAGGCTTTTAGGCTGAAAGTGCGGGACGGGCCCTGCAGGGCCCGTGTGGCTACGCAGTATGCCACATATGGCCTCCGTCTCACCTCCTACATACACCTCTACCTCTACAGTGCAGCGCTGTGTCGCGCTGCTCCAGCAGCGTGTCGCCCAAGAAGTGAGCTACTCGAACTGTGTGTCTTCCCTGGTCTGGCCCAGCTACTCGTAGGGCTGGGCCTTGGTGATGTGCCTGCGTGTGCCTCTGGTCCTGGCCTTAAACGTGGCCTGCCTGGGTCCCTACCGGACGTCCAGGCCCTCCCTGCTGATGCAGCAGGGAGTGTCCGCTATCGGACAAACACGGACCTGGCCCCAAAGGGCCTGCTTGCGTCCGTACCAGGCCCAAAGTGTGGCCTTTGTCCAAACAGACACAAGGTCTGTTCGGACGTACTGCAAGTCCAAAACGATGCCTGAACCAAAAATAGGACAGCAAATAAATAAATAAATGCTGTCTCAAATCGAAACCTGCGGCCCTTAGGCTGGCCGTGGGCCTCCAGGGCGCGCGCCTGAAGTGTGTGCAGCCTGGGGGCCAAGTGCGTGCAGCCTGGGGGCCCCCAACAACCGTCGGGCCTCCAAAATGGGGCCCGTGTGCAGGCTCAGCATGTAACAGTGACAGACAGCCGGTATGCATCACATTTGCGCCATATTTTTTTTGACAGGGTAAAGGTTCTTTCCCCCCCCCCCCTCCCCCCTGTTATTTTTCGCCTATACAGCACTAGCCACCCTAGGCCCATGATTATTCTTTCAGATTCTTCTTTCAGATTCTTCTGCTGAAGGAGATGAGTGTGAAAAAAAAATTGTCCCTGGTGGCAAGCCGAGGCTCACGTAGACTGTGCATCAACTTGTGTGGCCCATGTGCCCGGGAGGCCTGTGCATATCTACTGGTGGGTGGTTTAATCAAAACTTTCAAATTTTCATTTCTTTATGAAATAATAATAATTTGATTCCACTGGCCCTTACGGCCATCCCACAAATCCACTGCGAAGGGGAATGCTCTTGGAGGAATGAAAAGATAATATATAAAGTATTCAATGACTATTCATGCAAAAGAACTTGAAAACAATGAAAAGGAAATTCGAAATTTTCAATTTTTTTGTATAGTATTCCTCACCTTCATCGTGTCATTATCCTTTCTTCCCTTGACAGGGAGTGCCCCCCAGATCTGAAAGAAGCCATTTCGAGTCTCATTTTTGCTGCACCCAGATGCCCGGACTTGCCAGAGCTTATGCAAGTGCGCTCTCTTTTTGCATCCAAGTACGGCAAAGAGTTTGTGGCGGCGGCATCTGAGCTTATGGCCAACTGTGAAGTGAATAGGCAGGCAAGTTCTCTTGGTCTTCCCCCCCCCCCCCCCACCCTCCCTGAATGATTTGAATGAGATGTCCTGCAATTTTCTTTGTCTTTGGAACAAAAGAATGCCCTTTTTTTCCCTTAATTTATGATTTGAAAATATTCCTTACGTAGGGATTACTAACAGCATCTCAATTTTTTACAGCTTCCTCTCCGGACAAATAACGAGACAACGTGGATTGTTTTGGCACTAACCTATCTGGCTTTTCTTTTTTCGTGTTTGCCCCCCTGTGATCCGCTTCACGCAGCTGATCGGGAAGTTGTCGACCCATCCTCCATCAGGCCAGTTCAAGGTAGACCTGTTGAAGAAGATAGCAGAGGAGTATGACGTCAGCTGGGATCCTGAGAAGTTGCAGCAAAGCCTTTGTGGAGCTGACCCTGACCTTCTGGTGAGAATCTGTCTTTTCTTTTCTTCTCCTCGACCTGCAACCGTTCCTTGCTCGCACATGCATGCCCCCTTTTTCTCTTTCTTCCTAGGCTACCAGAGTGGCCCGGGTCCACTTGCCCGG